TTCCTTTTCCTCCACAAAAAACGACTCTAGTAATCCTTCATCTTCCTCTTTTGCCGGTCGTCTAGCGTGCAGGTTGGCCGCTGCTGTCTCGGGGTCGTCCGCCTTCGTAGGAGCATCTGCGATCGTCTCGTCAGTTCTTTTCATATTGCCATTGGTCAAAAGAGTAGGAGGCTGTCGTCGTCTAATAGACGTTGATCGCTTTACCATCGCGTCTCCACCCTGATGATGCTCAACCGACGCTGCAGGTAGAGCGACATGGCCGCTCAACTTCTCCGCTAGTTTTCCGATTCTCGTGTCAGCGCTCTCGATCTTCGGCCATGTTCTTATAAAATCGGAAAAGATACCGATAGAACCCGGGTCTACATGTTCCATGCGCTCTTCCGCCGGTCCACGACCACTTTCCATGTCCCCGATGGACTCAAAGTCCAGTTTCTCGGGTGACGCGTCAGAGGCCCAAGCGAGATCCGCCGCGACGAACAGCGACGCGCCCACGGAAAGTGCAATGAGGTTCATGAGCTTCATGGGACAGCGGTGGAGATGGACAAAAACGGGTACTGCGCACTGGACTGCAGAAGGAATTGTGAGCCGTTGCCTCCGAGCTGTGCGGCTACTTGCGACAGAGCTGACATTTTCCTCCTAAAGAGAGACGGCACCATGTATTTCCTATGTAGTAGGGCCCTGTGGTCAGGATCGTGACGCGGAAGTTCTGCTGCTTGCGCGAATGCGTTGCGTCGATTTGATAAATCGAAAAGCGACCAGAGAGATGAACAGGTAGTCAAGCGGGAAGATCCGGGCTTTACGTGCTTCTAGAGCGCAGCAACTGGAGGATTCAGGGCATCAGGATTCCACTGCACTTGCGTTTTGTATCGATTGATGCCTGGCTATTTGCAGTCCCGTCTCTCTGCGCTGTACGGTCAGTCCCACTAATGAAGCTAGGATCCCCTAGACTCTCGTTCTACCTCGACCATAGCACCATTTGTGCCACAGAAGGCAAATTTTACTGATCTGTCATATTCTGAACAGCATCGATGAGAGCCGCGCCAGTTTTTCTCGCGCATTCAAACGTTGCTAATGCGATCGAACTACGGAATGCCCTCCCAATGACTATCTTCAGCAAACACAGCCCTTGCCATCGTTGATTCTGCTGAGGGCGGCACATCGTTGCAGGTGGCTTAGGTCACGTGCCAGCTGCGCGAAAACGCACCTTTGGTTAATTCGTTGTGCATCTTAACTCCCATGCGTGGTGTCGGGTATGTTGCAGCAGATCACTCCCGACGAGCTTACGCCCCACCGCTATGCTGCACACTCTTTCGTCGGGCACGTTAGTTCCTTAGCTCACGTGAACGCCCGACCATTGTCATCCGACACGTGAAACAGCCGGAAGAGAACGAACAGTGCTTGTTTCTCGGATCTACCAGCCTCAAAGACAGTGCAGCGGTCGTGAACTTTGATCTGATGGGATCGCACACACTCGTGGTGTTACATCCTCATCCACGAGCCGCTTCCGTCGCGATGCTAGCGCTCGTAGATCGGACAGGTATGACTTTTGAACGATCACACGTCGTGTTTGATGAAGACAAGTTGGAAGACCGAAAAGGCGCTGGGGCACGACACAGGACTGGAGATTGTAGAGCCTTTACTAGTGATCGATCTCGTAGCTGCTAGTAAATGAGCAGTGCCTCGTATCGTTTTACATAGCACCAGACTTCTCTCGAGTAGAATCACTAAATGGATGAGGATATCTTCTCGGAGCAATTGAGCCTCGAAATGCGTCCGAAAAGTCCATTCGAGAGGTCACTAGTCGATGCTCTCGCGTTGAGCATCCGAGAACAAAACACAGGTCATGAATGGCTGACGCTCGTTCGGGTGCCAATGTAACGGGCTCTCCACTTCATCCGAGCGGCCGGTGCTTCCACGAAAATCCAGAGAAGGTCAGCAAGAATCAGATCGGCCGGATAGCCAGCGGGAAGATGCGGTGGAAGCTGTTCGTGCACCTCATCAACGCATAGTTAGTCAGACTGACATGTCTGCTGGTATTTCGCTCGATATTCATAGGCTACAACATCCGCATCCATCTGTCTTTGCGGGGTCCAGTCCTTACACACGCGGCTATGTCGATGCTGGATCGTGTCTGGCTGTCATCCCCTGATGCGAGCGGCAGTGTCATGGCTATAAAAGGCTTTCTAAGAGGTGTCTTACACGCCGAAGGACTTCTTGTCGAACACATTCGTTCCCGAAGCTCCGGCTGCCGTGTTCGTAATCGTGGTGCAACGCCATGTGACACGGCGGCCACCGTGCGCGAAAGCAAACTTCGATTGAGGTTGGAACGTTTGAGTCGACTAGTGCCCGCAATGCTTTGTGTGCTTTCGTTGCATGTTCGGCATAACAAGTGCCGCCCCGACTTTGGGTCAAACCCGTTTGTCAGCAAGGGCAGCACCATGCGAGTAGTCATACTGGTTACTGGACGTGTGCAGCGAGCACAGCTCTACAGGTGCTACACCAGAGGTCATCGACCCTGTAGGAGGCGAAGGAACGTGTTATTGTTACTGATAGCCACACTTGTCCAGCATTCGACGTGAGTGTATCGATCCAGACGTGCGGATCCCGTCGTCTTCGAGCGCAGTGGTGACTGTCGATCGCATTGTGACCAGAAGTGCAAGAAAAGTAACTAGACCGAGTGGACTGGAGCAAATGAGCTATACGCTTTGGCAGTACCCACAAGCAGTATGTATGATGCAGGTGCAGGCATTAAGAGTAAGGACGAAGGTGAAGTGTTGTTTACTAGATGTAAACATAACATAAACGGCAGATGCGACTCTGGCGTCGATTCGTCGAGTAGTGCTGGCTGACGTATCCTGCTGATATACCCTGCCGCTCACGGAATGTACGCAGATATCCATCCGGTGATGACACTTGCAGGACTTTGACAACAATGTGAAAGCCGTAGCTTAGTGTACTTTACACGGCTGCAACAACTGTAGCGCCGAAGACTACTGCTTCTGAGCACGAAGGACTCGCGCACTGCCAGTACCGTTTCGTCATGTATATCATAGCTCGTGCAGCAGCTATTCTACGCACAGGTCGCGTCAGAGTGAACTCTTTCGCTTCTGCATGTAGTCTCCGAGTGATGGGGCTGTGCGACCACTTATCGATGCTCTCCATTCCACACACTCGCAACAACAAACTGAAATGTCAATGCACTCAACCAAGCAAAAACGTCAATGGCAACAAGTCCACCACGTCCTTCTCCAGCACAAGACGGACGAGCACAATCCATTTGGTTGCAATACAATACGACCCGTTCGCCTGAAGGGCCTCACCAGGTCGACGACACCCGTTCCCGAAATTGTGATGCAACAATTGAGTGAATCGCAGCTGTCAATAGACCTACGCATCCTTTGACTCATCATGTGTGAGACCGTCCCATTTCTGCGCGGCTTCGTCACTTCAACTAGCCTTCTCTCTTGCCATAGTGCGCGATAGCTTGCGTGCATGATGCATTTGCGCTCAGCAAGAGCGCAATGCGGAGCGTGATGTGCTCGGCACCCACTACAAATTGAACGTCCTCACCCGGTGCTATTCTCGAACACAAGCGTTCAAGTTGTTGAGCATCATTCGGGTCCGCACACCTGTCGACCTCAATGAGATTGTAGCAGCGACGTGCCTGAAAATTACAGAGAAGCGCAATCGACTCCGTATGAAGTTGACTGACGTCCTTTGGGATCTTACGACCCATATACACTCTCGGTTGCCTGACCATCAGACTTTTACAAGCTCAGCGGAAAATGCTCCTCGTCCTCCTCCTCCTGAGCGATGATGACGTACCGCTCAACTCGCTTGATTCTTCTCGCACTTACATACTCACGTACAAGCTGCTGTCCAAATTCGCATCACTGCTCTGCGATACCGCGACGCGCTAGTATGTCCCATTCGTAAGTCATCGAAAGTATGCAACAGTGCAGCACGATATCGTACCGAACGTGACACTGTTCATATTGATCGTCCAGCAACTCTGACGTTCTGGACCCCGCGACACAACGCCCACGAAATAGATGAGGACTTCGAGCCACACTCACACATGTCAACCAACAAAGGTCCTCTGCTCGACGAGGGTGACTTGCTCGGCAGTGAGTACGCGAAACGGTACAAAACTTAGCTTGTCGTCGGATGGAAAGCAAAAAGGGGGTTGCAAACACACGTGTCTTTCTTCGTCTCAAAGCCCGTACGACATCACACGGACTCGCGTGACGACTGCCGAGCGTCAGGTAAGCTCGAACGAGATGCAGAGGTCGACAACAAGACCAGGCAGAACAAGCTATCTTGACGTCCAGTCCAAACGTCCGACACATCATATGTTCCTCGCGACATTCCCCCCTTCATGCGAAACCACAAACGACATTGGCACATTCGTCTGCATTGACGGCGGACAATGGATCCAAACGGCAGACAGCAACGCATGTCTACAAAGCAACGAGGCGGTGGGATGCAGACTGTACAAGCCATCCGGATCCACTGCAGGCACGTCATCAGTGTGCAATCATGAGAAACATGCAGCTTGGCGCATGCGATGACAGTAGCTGCTGTCTGTCTGAACCCATGTAGCGTGTCTGGACATTTACACTCAAGAGCGTGCAGTAGCTGGACGTACAGATCACACAATCTCAATCGCTTACGCATGGCACACCAAACCGGCAGTTCCGTTGAGTCGTTGGTCCTGGGTTGCTCGACCGATGCGGGAAGGTCATCGTCACCTGCGCCATGGTGCCCAACCAGCGCAGCCACGTATAGAAGTCGCACCAGGAGATGCCAACCACGTTTCGCCACACTCGGACCTTGAAACTGAGTGGCAGTCGCAGACCCAACTTTGCATGTAGCACCTGTCTGCCAGACACTTCGAGCATTGCTTTTCGGCGCCTGTCTGCTAGACACGTCAGGTCTTCTTTCGCCTTTCAAGCTCAATTTGTGCGTCGAAGCCATTGCAAGTGCTGCTTACTTCAGTCTCAGCTTGTTGTCGCTGTGGCCACTGCTACAGCACAGAGTCGCGCGACTGAACCATAGAAGATCTGCGACTGTGTCGAGACGCCATCTGCATTGCACATGTGCGTCGCCCCAATTAGTTGACTGGACTTGAGCTCCGGCGTTTCGTCTGGCATCGATCGTGCGTTGCACACTCGAACGATCGTGTCGTGATATCGAGCGACGAGCAGTCGCCGCTCTCCACCAGTCCAAGTGCAAGTGCCGTTGCCCGATTCAGTCGCACTTGCTCACAGTAAGTCACCAGATCTTTCACAACCGCTCGATGCGGTTCATCGCACACGTGACACCCGTTCTCGTCACTGATAAAGTGGCGCCCACCAGCAGGAGCCTTCAGATTGCTCCGTGCACTGCGCATGTCGCCTTCAGCTGTCAAGAAAAGAGTCACGAGGCCCTCGTCCGTGTGCCCAGAGTTCTCCTGCACACAGACTGTGCGTGCGCGACACAGGCGCATCTCGTCCGACAGCCGCATGAAGCGCAGTGTACGGCACAGCGACTCTTGCAGACTCCATGACGTCCTTCGACGTTATCTACGCACGAGCGAAGCGTGTGGTAACAAATAGAGCCCCAGCGTCCGTCCAAGTGTCTGTCTGGTGCGATAACAGCCGTAATGGCGTCGGCTCTGTCGAGGGTCACACGAGTGTGGCGTCTAAACGGGAGCGTCGCCTTCTGCGGCGCTAACGTCTCTTGATCTGCGTTCGGGTTTGCTGAGCCGTCGACTGCATCGATACGCTCAGTCACTCGTGTGTAATGTGTCGTCGACATAAGGCAAATGCACGTTGAGACGCCAAAAGGGCCCAGCACTCGATCTTGCACTTATGGTAGTAGACCTGCAAATGACCTGTGTAAACAAATCGGTACACGTCGTGAGAGAGGCGCAAGTAGACGCTGGCGACGAAAGTCCGACAGCCGATCACTGACACCAAAACATGCGATTATCGTTAGTTTTGGTTGTACGCTAGCAACCCCAAGCGACCCGACGTCACATAGCTCAGAGGTATCCTTCTACCATCACAGCGATAGCAGCAGACTTGTCTAGTTGCCCAGCAGCTGGCGCAGCGCGTCTTGTTCCTCCTTTGTTTCTGCTGCAAGAAGTTGTCGGTTGTCAAAGATCTTCAGCAGCTCGCCAGTCTTCGTCACCTGCACAATGAGATACGCATACTCGTCCTTCTTCATGTTCTGGTTCGCTTCAGCAAACACATAAGCGTGACCCGACGGTCCCTTGATGTTGTACTTGATGCGAAGACGTGGAGTGCCGTCCTTGGTCGTAAGGTTCACGTGCTCAATGCGGTTACGACGACCTTCACGATGGCCGCCGTGGTCGTGACCGTACCCGTGGATCGGCAAACCAAGTCGTGAGATTACCTACAGCCAAAAGACCAGCACATCACTGTCAGGTCACAGTCAACCTCCAGCCACCTTTCGCTTCTTCTTCTTCTTCTTCTTCTTCCTCTACTTCGCTCTACATCAGCATACGTCAGTGTTGTTCGAGACGATATCCAGTGACTCGCTATAAAGACCGTTGGGGCTCATGCGGCTGCAACGCACGACAGCATACAAAGTCAGTCTCCTCTCCGTTGGTGCTAGCAGAGCTCCACAGTGCACCTACTTCGGCAGCAGCTCACGGGCGACAAAGTAGACGCCAATTGCTCCAAGACCCAACAGACCCAGCCAGAACCCACCAGTGGCCGTGGCGGTCACCTTTTCATACGGCGTGAGCACCAGTGCGTCCGGCGCCTTCTGTCCGTCCGGTGTCTTGGCATCAGCTGCCGGCTAATCGCCAGTGTCAAGTGTCACGACGCAGACGCAGTGGCCCATTACAACCGAACGAGTCAGTACAGGAGCAAATGGCACGATGGCACGTACCTTTTCCGTGGTCCAACGGGGACGCGTTGACGTCAAGTGGCGCGTGTGACCTGTCGGGCGGTGGGCGACGACGATCCGGAGCAAACGAGAGCGCTGAGGCGGCGCGGACTGTTGTGCCGCGCGGCCGACGGGGGCGAACAGGGGGCGCAGCATCTCGAGGCCTCGGCGGCAGAAGGAGCGGTGGGGGACGTGGACATGGGGTGGCGGAACGGAGAGCGCTGATTGGTCGCGGGTCGGCCCGCAGGACGAGCGGTAGTGTGGCCACCCGAGCGCGCAAAAACGGTACACGAGCGGGTGCAACTGTGGCGGCCGTCAGTGTGGTCGACATGAGGCGACGTTGGCCCAGCCCGGCACCGAATGGCAGTCAAGTCAAGTCCGAGAGACTGTGATCGAGTTGGATAGCGTGCGACAAACTGTGGTCGCGAATGGTCACGTTGGGTAGGAAAAGACATTGGTCAACTAGGACGAAGGCTCGGAGAGGTGGGGGTCGGTCGGGCCTGTCGATCGTGGTCGACTTGCACCCGGTTCCGCCAGCAAAAACGAGGCATGACAAGTAGATGGAATAGAGGAAAGTGCTTGTGTCGTGACGGACCCCACGCTAGAGCAGCCACAAAGACAGATATGCTGGTCACACCTTCTTAAAGCCACGAGCACGCGCGTTACGTCAGTGCGTCTCGCGTCTCACGTTTTTGACGAGGAAGCAATGGTAACCACATGAGTGACAGCAGCTTCATGATGTAGGCGACCCCAAATGTCCACGTGACTTGCCAGCGCACGTGTGCACAGAGTCGTGAGTGACGTCGGTACCGCTCACGTCCAACAGTGCTTTGACGGTCTTGTAGACGCAAGAGAAAACAGGACTGGACAGGTTGCTCACGGCAGTCTGCAGCCCGTATATGGCAGCTTTGGTACCAATCTCGGCCAGCTCCACTACAACACATGTGGGGACAAAAAAGTCCATAGCTTGTGGCGGCTCTTCAACTATTGCTTTCCTATCCAGAACCGCTGGCGGAGCAGCACATTCTGTATGGTCGGCAGGTCTACCATCGCATCCAGGACAACCACCGATCCAGTCGTCCAAGCAATGTCGCGTCGCCAATTCAGCCAAATCCAACACGCTTAGTGCGATACAGCGCTGTACTGAATACAAAACAAGTCCAAGCGCGGAGAACAACTCTCGTTGAGTGGACGCACATGGGCCCAGTACCGCTCCATCGGATCACTCGCAGTGATCGTGAAGCCGTCAAAGACTCCGCTGACAGATTGGCAAGCCACGATTTGCGCTGTGGCGTAGTTTTGACTCAGCAACCATAAGTCACGCATGTCATCGCGAAAGTGCGGTACGTGATCACCAAGTACCGGCTCCTGTGCCCTCCACAGCGCAGCACGAATGGCCATTTGACACAGTAGAGAAAAGATCAGCGTCCGCTGATCCAGCGTGGACGACCAGATACACGACCCTTTGTAGTCGTCTTCGTTCAAGCCAAAGCCAACTAAATGAGCTGCCACAATCATTGAGACACTGCGCACAAGGTAGACTGTAGACTGGATGTTGACACGAATATGTTCTGGTTCCCACTGCGGAAACTCCACGACAAGACCGTCAGAAGCCACATTGACGATCACGTAGCCCAACTTGCCAGCATTATTAGCGCGATTTCGAGAGATCCCGACTGTTTTGCTTGCCTTTTGATTCGACCGCGCAGCTGAATTGACCTTTAATCAGATACATTTTTGACGCGTAAACTTTGAGAGAATGTAAAAGGATGCGGCTGGTGTTACGAATCAAGAACCAGTAGCATGCTCATGCGCATTAGCCACCTTTCGACCATACATACCCGGCGACGCGAGCGCACTGCGAATAACAGTCGGACGCAACATCAGTGACCACCTTGAACGACCATGACAGTGAGAGCAGCACGCGTGCCGACAACGCCTGGTACATATCCAAGTGCAGGTAGTTATTCCGAAACGAGTACACAGTGCGAGGGAGTCCACCGTGGACAAAACGCACGGGCGCGTTTTGCACGAGTAGACCGATATGACGCCACTGGTACAAATTGGGCAAGTCACCGAGTCAACGTGCAGTTCTTCTCCGTCCTCACTCTTTTGCAACAAAGTGTCGCCAATAAATGTGCTCCAATGTGTCTTTATTAAAGCTCGAGGCAGCAGAGTGCACGTACGAAAGCCGGTCCAGACGCTGCGCGTCAGTCTCTTGACCCTTCAACTCCATTCGCGCTATCACTCACTGATACTTGAGACTGCGATGACAACAGCGTCTCGGTGTTCTTCGACAGTCTCGCCGTTGCACGCCGTCTTCGTCGCGGGTCGTGCCAAGTCCTCGTTGCATGTTGTAGGTAGTAATCCCATTCAGTACTTTTGTCGAGTCTTTTTGCGGTCAGGTGACGCAGACGACTGCAACGTATTCCGTAAAGCAAACGATGGCGAGCTATCGGTCGATTTCTGCCACTTGCAACAACAGAGCAGACCACTCTTTCCACGAAGAAGTGCAGTTGTCCCTGTGAAATCGCATTCGCTAAAGATCGCGTACACGCGTTTCGTACACAGACATATCCGTCGGAGAAGAAGGCTCAGCTTCGAAAGTGCGCTCGCTGTCCGTCCGACCTCTCGGGCGCGCACGATGGCGTCCATGTGGTCCTCGTTCACCTATGTGCTTCTCCCGCCGGCTGTGGTTCTGTGCGTGCACCGCACACCTCTGTCCAGTCTTTGTGCACCGAGACACGACCGCACTCACGCGTGTTCTCGATCTATCGTTTTGTCAGACTGCTCTTGCTGACGATTCCGCTCCCGAGTCTGTTGCTGAGCCGCGGCGTTGTCAAGTTGGGCGACTTTGTGTTCAATATCCGCATTGGGACACTGAGCGTCTTTGGCGTCATCACGACCGTCTCGTTTGTCGTGTTGCTGGCGCAAACGTACGACTTGCAGAAACGGTACGCGATGCACTCGGATCCACATCTGGAAGTGCACTACTCGGCGGACCTGCAGGTGGGTCGGCGACTGTGGGAAATAGGGCAACAGTGGGAGAAGGAATGGGAACGGGAAAGGGTCTCACTTGATGACGTTGGACTCGAACTGTCAGAAAAAGGCTTCGCGCTGGCGGTCCGAGCGAAACTGGTGGATCAGTGCACTCACTTTTGCGATCTACTGGTGCGTGACAAACGATTGAACTGCGAGTTGTGGAGTGCAAGTTGGGAGATCAGCCTACAAACGTATGCGTTCGTGTGGGTGCGTGCAGGATGCTGCTACGTTTCCACGCCCTGAAGAAGCAGCTGGTCAAGGTGCAGCGCCACGAAGACTAGATGGCGGTTCCTGAGCTGGTGTGCTGTGACGGTGCGCAACAATGCGTGATACACAGCGATTGCTGAGGACGATTGAGTGGCAACTTCTGGTCGCGTGCGTGTGCAGATCAATACAGCTGTTCTTGCCTTTTCTCTTGCTGTTGACACGCTGCTGAGGTGCCTCGTGCCGGAGCAGTCGACGATGCTACCGCGAACTTCCGTTCAGTCTGCAACGAAGCGCCGTCCCGACATCGAATAGCCCGCGAACTTGACGTACGCGGGTGACTCCATCTTCGAAATTCGCATTTCGTCGGAATAAGACGCACAAGACTAATGCGCAATATTAGGTGTTATTTGGTGCACTTGTGCCAATTTGCGAGCTCGGACTCACGAAATAATTGGTACGGCATGCACGACGCAGGCTGTGTGGGATGCTTTGGCTGCTGCTGTTGCTGATAGGCAACGACGAGCTATGTACGAGTCCATCGTGTCTCACGGATGCCGAATTGACTCGGCAATGCTCTCTTGAGTAGATATCCAGATATATGTTGTAGGAGCCACATGTCGTTTATGTCTTGCACAGTATCTTCAGCACTCTTGATAGCATCATAAAGATGTAGGAAACGAAAGAGGCGCAGGCTCTAGAGATCGCTCTTTGATGAAAGTAATCTTTTTCGAATGGTTTCGGATATTCACATACCCGCTATGGGAGTTCGCGGCTGGCGGATTGGTAGTGCATTGTGAGGTGTGCTTATCACATGCTGCAGTGGTCGTTGTGTGACGAAGCAATTCACTGGTCTTGCTGATGTGTTGATGGGTTGGATGAGCAAAGGGCGATGTAGACTGGTTCTGCTTGTGCAACTACAAATATAGGGCGCAATTGGCGGCATGAACGATGAGACGGAAAGAGTAGATGAGCGTTCTCTGCCGCCGAGCGATGAAGTCGATCATTAACTTGTGTGGTACCTTTTTACATGCTACGGAGGAAGAAAGTGTTTTTGGGATCAACGCTGCGTGATTAGTGACAGACCGCTGTTTACCCAAATGTGAGCAGTGATTCCTCCACGAGTGCCGTATCAGACTACAGTGTACAAAGTGTGCGTCGACTCCTGCATGAAAAGCTACTCGACCGCAACACATGCGAGGTGTCAAGCGGAAGAAAAAGCCGCCTCAAAAATCGGACTTCGCTGCGCGTAGCTCTCGTATCAACAATGTATGACATCAAAGGGAGGCGACGATACATGGAGAGGCAGATTGGACGAGAGTCAACTTACGTGCTGTTACTACAGGATCAGATTCTACTTCTACCGATGATGATGCTGCAAATGTTGTGGTGTGGTGCCGGACGTGCCGGGGGTTTCCGACCTTTGTGCAAAGCTCCCGGTAGCTGCTTGTTTGCAAAGGTCCTCTTCAATCGATTTTGGGTTGATCGTGTGGGAACATGTGGTGAGAGCACTACCGACAACAGGTGGACACACGGACAAAAAAAGAGCTGCTGCGAAGTGCTGCTTTCACCTCACGCACGCTTACTCATAGCCCCAACATTAAGGCTTGCGATAAGGTAATACAAGACCAGTCAGTGCAACGAGCAAACGGATCAGCAAGCAGCGCTCCCAACTGTCAGAAGAAAAGGAGCAAATCGAACGATTGAGAAGGTCAAGCTCATGACGGAAACCACATCGAGATGACAGGTTGTACGAAGCCATATCATCGAGGTAATGGTACGGCAAAGAGAAAAAAGTTGAGCCGGGCGACTATTGTTGAAGACAGAATGGACAGAGGTACATCTGCCGACGCTGGATGAGCTGACAAGTCCAGGTGTGGACGTACAGGGGCGGCAGTGTAATGCGCGCG